TTCAAATTAGGCTAATTTAGCCATTACCAGACAAAAAGCCTTCACGTGGTGATGATACAACCCAGGCCAGGGTGATTTTACGAAACTACCCCTCTCACAGTTGCTTCACACCAGCACCACCTCGCCCCCCTCCTCCCCCCACCACCCCTATCTATCAGCCCTTCAAGAAGCATTTCCCTTGGTTAGTCCCCCTTTTTGTAGTCGCCAATATTGTTCTCTTCGCGATCGCTATGTATATCAATGATTGTCCTCGAAATTCCCACAATTGTTTGGCTGCTGACATTCTAGGCCGATTCGCTTTTCAGAACCTTAAGGAAAATCCCCTCCTTGGACCCTCTGGCTCAACGTAAGTCCCTCGATTGTGCTTGATTTAATGTTTGAATAAACTAAACAAATGCATGATTGAATTTTGATCCAGCATTGTTTGTTTTTCATTTCCAATTTTGATATGTTTGTGTGGGGACTATTCATTCTAAAGGATTTAGACCAACATGGGAATGTTTTTCTTATTTTGTAAAACTTCCAAGAAAACTTGACTATTCTTAAAGAGTTAAAGAGTTTAACAATTTGACTATAAACTTAATTTTAAAGTTTGTCTATATCTGCATGATTAACAAGTAAAAATAAATTCCAAATTTTGGCAATTTAAAACTTGCCAAAACGACTAAAAAATATTTGGCAATTTCAACAAGTGGGCTGTTGGAAAAGAGGATAAAGATTGCCTGCAATTTTAAGAAAATTTGGCTAAAACTGGGTGAATTTCACTGCTGCTTTTATGTTCTAGTTAGGTTACCTCCTATAAAGATTAGAAACGAAGCATCCGAAGGAAAACTTACTCAACCTACATAGTGGTTTTAACTAACCACAATCAGGTTCTTTTTGATTCATTGACGGCTAATGCATTGTAGTTTCTGTTTTCCAGTAGTGACTAATGTTGACATTCGTGTTTTAAAATTGCTTTTGCTTTGCATTGCACACTATGGGAAGCAGTCGACTATAAGAAGCAAGAAATTGCATCTGGTAGCATGCCATCTGTGCTTGAATTTGGAAAATAGTGAAAAAACAAATTTGATTAATGCTGTGTGTTTGTATTCATGTAAATTCCAGTGGCAGGTAGTCTAGAATTTGCAGCTAGAAACATATGATTCTCTATCTTGAAAGCATGAAACAAATTTTCAATCTTTGGAGTCTTCTTTTTCTTATTCTGGTTTATGCCTGAATACTCTTTTTATCATGCTTTCATTCTAGTTGATCCTTCCTTTCTTGCAAATATGTTTCTTTCACTGTTCCTTGGGTGTCCATAGTTAGACAACATCATGTTAAACAATACTTACCATTCTATCCTCCTAATGTGAATGTATGAAGAGATTGGTTTTCGCTATTTTATAGGATTTGCTTGGAAATTACATTTGAGGTCTCTCTTTCTCTTCCTCAAGCTGTTGAATGTGATCATGTTGTAACAAAGAAAGATTACACTTGCTAGCTTTTAACCATAGGATTTTTAGTGAGAACTATTTCTATTCGACTTGCTTCCAAGCTGTTGAACTGTGAACATTCGGTCACAGGTCTTTGTAAGGGTTCTAAAGCGGGATAAAATGTTACCTGATTTCATCTGTTTCATTTGTTCAGCCTACAGCTTATGGGGGCTTTGGAAGTGAAGAAAGTAGTTGAAAATCACGAGGTATGGCGCCTGATCAGTTGTACATGGTTACATGCAGGACTCTTCCATGTTCTCGCCAATATGTTGAGTCTGGTATTTGTTGGCATTCGACTTGAGCAGGAGTTTGGGTTTGGTATGTGTATTAGCATTCCCTATTTCACATTAATTAGTGGCATTGTTTTGCTCATTGTTACATCATCTCAAGGTTCAAGATTTTGAAATTTTCCTTTGTACTTTTTATCCCTATCATGTAACTTTGCAACTTGTGCTCCCAAAGAGAGCAATATATGTATTTATATTTATAGAAGTTTACTTCTATGACCTTTAAATGGGTTACATGATAGAGCGTGTTTTAAAGCTTTATACTTTTGTTGGACATTATCAATAGTAGCACTAAACTTCGTAAAGCAACATGTATTTTTCCCAACGAAACAAATACCTTTATTTCTTGTTATTTTATCCTAGTTTTCCATAGTACAACCCTAAAGTAGAGAGCCCTAAGAGCAAATGCAATATTTCATTTTCTTCATTCGTTAAAAAAATGTTCAAAGTGGAAAGAATCTGTTACTTTATCCTAGTATTCCATAGTACAAACTGAAAGCAGAGAGCCTTAAGAGGAAATGCAATTTTGCCTTTTCTTCATTAAAAACAACGCCTAATTAATATACATTAACGTGTGCTTGGAAGGGGAAAGAATATGTTTGAAGTCCTGACCATGGCTTCATTATTACTGTTTTTATCGCAATGTTAATATAGGTTTGTAGTTTGAAGCCTTTTTTGTAATTTAATTTAACCCTTCAACAGTGCGGATCGGTTTACTGTACGTTATATCTGGAATAGGCGGGAGCTTGTCGTCATCTTTGTTCATCCGGACAACAATTTCCGTTGGTGCCTCTGGTGCACTATTTGGTTTACTTGGAGGCATGCTTTCAGAACTCCTTACAAATTGGACGATATATGCCAATAAAGTACTTGGAAACTATTCTTTGTTAGACTAAGCTTCCTATTTAATTTGCTCTTTTAATTTTTTTTTTGTTGAATCAGATATATCCAACATTTGATTATCTTACACTTTTTTGGGTTGCCTTTTCATCAGTTCGCAGCGCTATTGACTCTCATTCTCATCATTGCAATTAATTTAGCAGTAGGAATCTTGCCACATGTGGACAACTATGCACATATTGGAGGATTTATTACCGGATTTCTCCTTGGGTTTGTGGTTTTGATTCGACCACAGTATGCATGGGTGAGGCAAAGACATACTCCTCCTCGTTACCATGGGAACTCATCTAAACCTAAATACAAGATGTATCAGTTTGTATTGCTCGTTCTCTCTCTCATAATTCTTACTGCCAGGTAACTTCTCTTTCTCGCTTTTGGTTGCAACTTTATACCATCATCATTTGTAGCTAGGTACTCAGGGTGATGGCCAAGGGCTTTTTGTTCCATTTGTTTTTTTCTTTCTACTAGGCATTTCCCTCACTTTTTGTTTCCCTTTACCTTTACCTTTACCTTTCCAAATCTCTACCCAAAGCCATCATTCAAACATAGGCTTAAGGTTCCTAACATAAATCTCTTTTTCCCTAGGTTAGGTGGCTGAGTGTAACGGATACTTGCTAGCATCCCAGATTGTATTTTCGCTTGTTTGGTTTGTTATGCACCAGTTTAGAGGAAATTTATTTGAAATAGCCAAACCAAACTAAATTATGATAAGCCATGTGTCCTAATCGGTGGGGTTGATTACATGAATTTTTTGTTATTTGATAATGTGAGAGTTTGATGGCAAAAAAAAAAACTTTCTTTGTTAAACTTCAAATTGTAACTCATAGGAAATTAATATGGAAGTAGCTCTGTTCAATTCCCAAAACACGGGGGGTAAAATAGTTACCATTCGCTTCAGATGAAGTGAGTAAGAAAGAAGCATGTTAATGGTGATAATTGATGCATGACAACATAAATACAATGATAATTTGATGGTAATATTCACGGACTATTGACGAATTCATGTTTCCCAACATGCATATAATGGTAGGTTGAGATTTCTATGAACATCCCCGGATATGGAACAAAATGAAGCATATATTTCTAGTTATAGCAAACTGGATGAGCAATTTTGGAAAATCTTGAGAAAAGGCTTTTTAGTTTTTGTGAAGTTTCATTATAGTATGCGTCGGTAAATCCCTTTAATTACATGGTGTAGTCTGGCTAGCCTCTGATCAATGACACGAATTTTGACAGCTTTACTATTGGCATGGTTTTACTCCTCCGAGGGGTTGATGGGAATCAATACTGTTCTTGGTGTCATTATATGAGCTGTGTCCCTACCTCTTTATGGAAATGCAAACCAGACGAAGTCTATTGCGAGGTAACTCATTCTGCCAATTTTATTGTCTTCTTTTTGGTGCTTACTTTTCCATTAATTCTCATTCCCTGCCTCTCTCCCTCTCTCCCTCTCTCTCTCTCACATGCGTGCCCATACACAATATTCAAATCTAACATACAATGAAACAAAGAGATGTTTGCATCATGTTGTCATGGACACTCTCAAATAAATCTAGTGGGATTACTCTTTCACAACACCTCTTTGTTTTTGATGCACAATCTTGACTAGCTAATTCTTTGCTTTATGAAAAAGCATAATTCCACAAAAGATTTTCACAGAATCAGGTACATAGGTGAGACAAGAGGTGAGCCTCACATGTAGAGCCTACTTATGTGAGTCCCACACCTTTATCTTTTCATACTATGAAAATCTTCTATGTTCCTAGCATAGCAATTGCTTCATTTTTTTTCTCTAAAAACCATATACATCTTACAAAGAACAAATATGTGCTACATAAGAATTAGCACTCTTGCATCAAAAGGCCAGAGTTTCCAAGAAATCTTATTCTTGCCCATCAAAGCATCTTTACAAATTTGAAATTCTCCTTTGTGGAGGTGACTTCCGCACAATAATGGGACGTTGCCTCGAGTGTTTGCTCAAAGTGCTTTGGTGAAATGGGATACCCTGCAAGACAAGGAATAATGAGTCTATATGGCCGTGGTGTGGCCAAAAAGCCCCTTCGATGCTTAAGTCATAAAGGGAGAGAAAGTGAGATAGAAAGAGAAAGCAAATTAGGGTTTTGTATACTTGGCAAGTGGAGAAGATAAGAATCCCTTCCTAGTGGCGCTTCTTGTTGTTGGGTTGCTCATGCTCTTTTAAGGCAGATATGCTCACCTGAGGTAACCACCTCATGTGCGTCCAACTCAGTCATGGCTATTCACGTGGGGGGATCTCCATTAAGGCACCTAAGAGCATCCATAATGTGATAGCTAAAAAAGTGTACTAAAGTGTACACAAGGCAAAAGTGGGTCCCATTTAGTGTGTAAAATAGTTGTCTAAACTAATGTGTGTGTGTGCACCACAATGGACAAGTTAACTACCTAACTAAACCATTAAAAAATTTATTGATGTCATTACCAGTGCTTCATTGCCAATGGCTATATTTCACATTACTAGTGCTCCATTGCCAACATCTATATTTCACATTATCAGTGCTCCATTGCCAATGGCTATGTTTCACTTCGGCAACTGCTATAATTTACAACAAACATCTATAGATTGTGTTGTCACCAACGGGTCGAGGTAATTCATGAGCTTCTTGAGTAAATGGAGAATCATCATCATTGTCAATGCTAATTGATCCTGTAGCTAAACTCGGTGTTGTTGCTGGAGTAGACGGATTTGATGAATCTATAATTTGATCAACATCCACATTGAAAGCACCTCTCTTTCTTTGACTAATTTTCTGTTTTTTTTCTTCTTCTTGTTCTCTTGTATAGTTAAACCATTTAGCACTATCTTTGAGGATTATACAACAACCATCCCACTTAAAGTGGTGACCCTGTGAGCTATAATACAATTGTTTTGCAGCTCCTAGCTCCAAAAAATAACAGACAAAAATTAATATCAATTAAATCATTTGAGTAGAAAAATGTGTAAACTATAACTTATCGAATCTTCAAGGTTATAGCCACTAGTCGGAGTCCTCTCTATTGTGTGAACAAATCCAGAATATTTGTTAAGGTGAGATTGAATGCTGGACCATTGATTCATCAAACCCAAGCTGATTCAATCGCTCTGATAACCCAAGAGTTGGTTGAACTCATCTCAAATTCGATCCCATAACCTCGCTCTCGTTTGATCTATACCCGTAGCTATATCTTCTAAGACTCGAACCATGCTTTACAAAGTGCTTCATCTTCCTCTTTTGTTCAATTTGGATTTCTTTCTTTTTGTTGCACTTCACCCTTTCCCTTTTTCTTTTTTGTGTTGTGGATGGATGTATGTCACTTGCTGGAGGAGGTTCATGAGATTGTAATTGAGATTGTTCTGGAATAAATTGAGTAAATGGAGTCTGACAATATTGTGGATTTGAAAAGAATTGAGAAAATGCTTGAGAATTAAATTGCAATAGTGGTTGCGAGTTTTGTTGCCTATTGAAATGATTATTGAAAAATGGAGGTCGAGGATCCATTTTTCAAAAGTTTTGGCTGATGTACAATTGAATTCCTTTTTAATGGAAGGGTTGGAAATAGGAAATGGTCAAAAATAGATACTGGTTTGCATTTTATTGAAGAAGACAAACTGCGCACAACGGTAAAAAATTTGAATCAGTAGATGTCTACTTAGAACGATAATATTACTTTTGGATTGTTATTTGAAAAATAATATTTTATTCTTTGGGGCCCACAATGGCTGGCTATATGGCTAGTCACAGTTAACACAAATGTTAACAGTTGGCTGCTTTAACATCAATGCTAGCAGCTCCATTGTACGGGTAAACAAACACCACAAGCTCACTAACTATTAACATCTGACACTAATAGTATGTTAACATGTCCACTGTGATTGCTCTAATATAATGAACATGTTGGCTGGAATTTACTTTTGTATTTCTTTCTTCTTGTGTTACTTGGTTTTAAATAACGGTATCGAAATATGTATTAATATATTGGTGATATAATCAAATATAAACCGATATTGGATAATACTACACAATTGATATATCAGTGAATAACGGTATCAGAAGGCTAAACTATCATTACGTAACGGCTAATATGATACATACGGCCGATATTTAAAACCCTGCACATACTGAATGATGGTTGTGATACTATTTCATACACACGGGCTTATGATAAACTTGTTGAAAAATGAGATTGCCTAAGCATGAACAATTTGCTGGCGGGTGTGATTTTAATTGAAGAAAGCAGAGAAGTCACTATATGCTTGTTATTGATCTTGTTCTTTTTTCATGTACTGAATGACGGTGCCGCAGTCCACCATGGTTGGAAACCAGCTGAGCTTGAAATGCCTAAGCAATGGGAAAAGCAAGGTTTACATGTTGGAGGGCAATAGCAGCCATTCCAATTTGGAACAGCTGTGCTCCCAACTTTGCAGTTGAGATGTACACACGGAACATACGAGGAGATCACTGAAGATAGTTTGAGCCGTGCCATCGAACAATGTAGTGTGTCCATCTCCAGAGAGTACAAGAATTCTTATTATCATTATTATACAATATTCTCTTTCAATTAGTTGGGCGTGAAGTTTCTTGGTTGAATCTGCAGATTGAATTGGGGCGTTTGATTAGCTGCTATCACATATCTGTTTATTGGTGAATCTGCAGAAAAGAAAAGGAATAGGCCATCAGCAAATTGGAAGATAATGTAAAGTTGCTTCAATTGTTGTATTGTACAGTAATCAAAAATACTAAAATGAACATATCTATAAATGGAAAACTCTCTTTTATCTTTATTATTTTGTCTCGATATATTGGTAAGCTGTAATTTCTTTTTCTTTTTCTTTTTTTTGGTAATTTAATTTTCTAGTTTTACTCACTACTACATTTGCATATGAAAAACTAGTGGTCACCCGTGCAATGCACGATTTTTAGAAAGTCAATAATTACTAAAAAAAAATTTATTATTTGTTTATATTTCTTAACATTTTTATTTGGTTTGTGTATATAAATCTTATTTCACATCATTAAAAATATTTAATATTTCACATTATTGAAAATTTTAAAAAACTATCATACATTAGTAAATCATCACATATGTAATAGTTAATTTATTTAAGAATTACTTCAGACAACCAAAAATAGAGTAATAAAGACATATTATAATTAATCAAAATGACTAATATATTAAATTTAAGTAACACTAATTTTGCTTAATCAATAGTAGATATTACATTAATCATCTCATATAATATAATAAATTAAAATAAAATTAATTTTAATTCCGACTATATTTAATTAGTAGTTAAAAATTTTTACATGCTATTTGTTTTTTCGTTATATTGATTCAGTAAACACAAATAGGTTTGGAATGATTATAAAAAAAAAAATTTTAAAAATGTTTGAAATGCATTATACTTGAATTGACAAACATAAAGAATATAAATATTTAAATTATTCAAAAAAAAAATTAACATTTTAAATATGAGATATCTTCCATTAAATTGTGTATATATATATAATAAAAAAAAAAAACCCTGACTATCAAATGGGGTTTTAAGTAGCAATATCAATCACGAATGAGAGTATTGAGTGATGCATATCAAGAATCAAATGATATAGTTGTGAATTTAAAATTAATCACAAAAAAGAGCTTTATATCAACTAATAAATTTTGATGTGTTCTTCATTTTCAATCTAACATCTACACCAAAAAAAAATTAAACACAAATAATCAATAAGTGAGAGAGTTACAAATTGATAATAGCAGTGCTTTTATAAGTATAAAAAAAGAATAAAATCTCAATTAAATGACACATTATTAACAAAAAGAAAGAAATAAGAAAAAATACAGATTGTAACCAAAAAAAAAATTAAAAATAATAATAATATTCATTTATATTAACTCACTTTCTTACAAATGTAAAAACTCATGCAAGTACACATTTCAAATTAAAGCAAATATTTAAGATTTTTAGGCACCGAAAAGGGATCAGAAATGGCTCAATGTTGATTGTTTTCCCCTCAATTTTCTATTCATGGTTTCTTTTGCAGGAACTTGTTTTTATATTAAAAAAATTATGCTTAAACAAAAGATATATATGGAATTCTATCATGTTTAAAATTTGTATGGATAAATAATTGATGATTTTAAAAGATAAAATATTAAGCTCCACTTAAAGATAAACTTTAAAAAAATTAAGTTGAAATATATAGAAATTCTATAACAAACTAACAAAAGATAAATATAGATCGTTAAAAAAATTATCATCTTTTTGGGATATTTATACCCCAATCTTATTCTTTTTTTTATTTAAATATTTTGTTATCTTTTATTTGAATTTTCATTAAATAGTTATATTTTTATTTTTGTATATTTTTTCATCTATATTTATTTGTTATTCATATATACATAATTACCTTTTTATTTTAAAAATCATTTGACTCGTAATATTTTTTTATTTAAATTTTTTTGTATTGTTCATATATAAATAGTTAACTTTTTATTTTTATAATTAATTGACTCGTAATATTTTTTATTTTGTTATTTTTTTTATCTTTTATTCGACTGTTTATATTATTTTGTAGTTGAAATTTGAATAGTTATCTTTTTATTTTATTTATTTTGCATTTTTATCTCTATTTTTTTGTTGTTCATATTTAAATATTTATCATTTTATTTAAATATACATAATCCTTTTGGCTTTTGAGATTTAGATAATTGACAAATGATTAAAAATTAGGAAAAGTAGGAGGGGAGACTTGAGAAGTGACACGTACTTAAAGATAAACTTTAAAAAGATTAAGTTGAAATATATAGAAATTCTATAACAAACTAACAAAAGATAAATATTGATCGTTAAAAAAATTATCATCTTTTTGGGATATTATATCCCAATCTTATTCTTTTTTTTATTTAAATATTTTTTTATCTTTTATTTGAATTTTCATTAAATAGTTATATTTTTATTTTTGTATATTTTTTCATCTATATTTATTTGTTATTCATATATACATAATTACCTTTTTATTTTAAAAATCATTTGACTCGTAATATTTTTTTATTTAAATTTTTTTGTATTGTTCATATATAAATAGTTAACTTTTTATTTTTATAATTAATTGACTCGTAATATTTTTTATTTTGTTATTTTTTTTATCTTTTATTCGACTGTTTATATTATTTTGTAGTTGAAATTTGAATAGTTATCTTTTTATTTTATTTATTTTGTATTTTTATCTCTATTTTTTTGTTGTTCATATTTAAATATTTATCATTTTATTTAAATATATATAATCCTTTTGGCTTTTGAGATTTAGATAATTAACAAATGATTAAAAATTAGGAAAAGTAGGAGGGGAGACTTGAGAAGTGACACGTAGGAGAGAGAATCCATAATAATTTAATATTAAGAGTTTGGAGAATTCTCATACTCCACTACATTTGTTTATATATATAGTATAGATAGATAGATAGATATGTGTGGGGATATATTTTCTGAGTACCAACACGTGGCAAGGTGACGCCGACGTGTCAGCCGAGGTGCCACGTGTCTTGGTCGTTGTGCCGAGGTCATCTCGGCTAGGCCGAGGTTGCCTCCGAAGATATCGGAATCCGAGATAAGCGGATAAGGGACGAGAGTCCTAGAATGAAAAGGGAACTCAACTTGGATATAGACAAGAGTCCTAGATTGGGAGAAGACTTCAGTTTGGGTAAAGATAAGACTCTTAGAGAGTTTATCCTAATCCCACTGGGAGTCCCAGATTAGCAGTAATCCTAAGTCCATTAGAGTCAGGCTCCTTTTGGGACAAGGATTGTGTTGGCTATAAAAGAGAGGCACTCCCATGGGTCTAAGGTATGTTTTTGATACTCAAACTTGTGAGTTTAGTACTTGATTATCTTTGAGAGATATACTGACTTGATCGTCGGAGTGCCCCCGGGTGGTCGAAACCACCGCAGGATTCTTATATTTCTGTTACAGGTTAGTCAGATGCCATCTATTCTGCCAGTGCTCTCCAGCTGGTTACTAAGCGGGCAGTGTGGTCGAAAAATCACCCACACAATTTGGCGCCGTCTGTGGGAAAGAAAGAAGAATAGATGGCCAATGACGAACATAAGGATCAGATTAGAGACAACGCTCCTGCTGGGAGTCGGAGACCTATTGATCTCGACGTTGAAGGGGACAATAGCAACACAGAAACTCGTGACCAGAGTCACAGAGTAAAAGAAGCCTGCCAGGAAGGTGACGCACCAAAGATAACAGATCGAAGCAACAAAGACGACCTCCAGGTATGGAAGGATAGATACCTGCGAAGGAACGAAGACCCTTCCAGAAGGGATGCAAAGACAGGGGGCATGAGCACTCCCAAGAAGATAACATTCAAGTATAGAAGAGCTCAACCTGAGTGAGCAAATTCCGGATTCCAGATCCCAAAAGACATGATCTCGGCCTAGATAAGTAGGTCCGAGAAAAGAAGAGCTCAACCTGAGTGAGCAGATCCAAGATTCCAGAAGATAAGATCTCGACACCTGAGTCCGAGAATAGAAGAGCACAATGAGCAGATCTCAGATCTTAGAAGATAAAAAGAAAACACACAAGATCAGACTAAAGTTGGCCAGAATTGAGAAGTATGCCAAGCCCGAGGAAGAACAAAGGCGTCGGAACAAGAAAAGAGAAACGGCTCGCCGATGCGAGGCCGAAAATCAAAATCAGGGTGGAGCCAAGTAAGATCAATAGAGAAACCAAGGCCGACAACCTCGGCTTGAATTCAACCTCGGTGACAAGGTAGAAGCTACATGTATGATGAGAACCTAAGCGGATTTTAAGTTCACACTGGGGGCGTAGAGAAGAAGAATGCGTTTACCACTTGTTGAAATTTTTAGCAATTTACAAGTTGAAGTTAAGCCGAAGATAATGCTTAACCGTAGTTTAAGCCGAGATGATGCTTAACCGTAGTTAAGCCGAAGATGATGCTTAACCGTAGTTAAGCCGAAGATAATGCTTAACCGTAGTTAAGCCGAGATGATGCTTAACTGAAATTAATCTGAGATGATTCCTTAATTCACCTGTTGAAATTTGTAGCAATTTACAAGTTGGAATTAAGCTGATTCCTTGTCTTCACTTGTTAAAATTTGTAGCAATTTACAAGTTGGAGTCAAGCTGATTCCTTGTCTTCACTTGTTGAAATTTGTAGCAATTTACAAGTTGGAATTAAGCTGATTCCTTATCTTCACTTGTTGAAATTTGTAGCAATTTACAAGTTGGAGTTAAGCTGATTCCTTATCTTCACTTGTTGAAATTCGTAGCAATTTACAAATAGATTATTGTTTAACACTTGTTATGTTAATCCTTGTTGAAATTTGTAGCAATTTACAAGTAGATCATTGCTTAAACACTTGTTATAACTTGAGAAAAAGTTTGCAAAGTTAACATTGAGTAGTATATGTTTCACACTTGTTAGAATTTATGAAAAGTTTGCAGGTCAGTATCTTGCCGAAGTAAAAGTTTTGTAGCTATTATACCCGAGGTATGTAACCCCGAGAAGATTGCACAAAGGAGGCAAAGTATGAAAGGCATGCACAATATTCTAAGTATAGAATCTTGCAAGAGCAGTTAGAAGAAGATCAA